TCATTGGCACTGAGAACACCCTCCGCACGCTTCAGTGTCTCGACATCCAAGTCAGTCACGTAAGCCTCGCGGTTAGTGCCATCCCGTGCACCACCCGGAAGCTTGACGCGGACTTCGAACTCATTGTCGAGCATCATCTCGTCCTTCCACAGACGGCGCTGTCCATCAAAGACACAGAGGACACGCTTCTTCGTTTTGATACTGCTGCTAGGGCAACCCCAGGACTGGGGGTAACGATCGCGGTTGTTTCGTCGCTTGGATGTAGTTGCACGCATCTTAGCATTGGCATTGGACGAACCCTTCGTGACAGCGTTGTTGACGCCCAAGATAGGACGGGCCACCGCCCCTGATCCCTTGGTGCTCTTCAGGGAGCCTTTGCCCGAGCGCAGGTTCGAGTATTCGTAAGCGTCATCATCGTCATCATCATATTCGTCATTGTATATGTCGACGGTGCCAGCCGTGTCGTTCAAGTTGTGCTTCTCCATCGTCTTTTGCACCTCCTCATCCGCATCAACTTCGGAAAGCAGCCTCTGGTTGATGGCTTCGCTGGGCTCTTCCTGTTGGACAACCCGAAGCACACAGTCGTCCAGATGCTCGTAGAAGTCCTGGGCGTTGCTGAACGTAACGGAGCAAGTTGAGCACTTGCCGGTCGCATCGGGGCTGTAGTTAGATGCTCCCTTGCTTGCCGCTGCAGCTGGGCTCCTCTTCCGGCTGTTGGGTGGTGTCTGTTCGACGCCATGCACGGATGTCAAGTGGCGCTTGAAGACGTCCGCCCTGTTAAAGCTCTTTTCCGCGGGTGACCCAGACCCCGGGCAGAAACCGCAAACCATCGTTCCTTTGTAGTGAGTAAGCGTATGACGGTTCTTGTCATACTTGCGTGCGAACCCCTTGATATGGTATTCGCAGGTGACGATGGGGCATTTTTCGGGCCTCTCTGACTGGTGTGTCAGAATATGAGCCTTGAGGTCCTTGAAGACACGTCTGCACTCCGGGAAAGGGCATCGGCCCTTTTCCTTGGTGTCATCGTCGGACTCTGCATTACTGGCAGCCGGGCTCGGATGAGAGCGCTGGGACTGAACCGACGAAACTGATGACCTCCGGTCATAGGAGGAAGGTGGTCGTGACTGGGGAAGGGCAGGAGCCATGGAAGGGGAAGAGGTCGGCACAACATTGGGATGCTGTGCGAACGGTTGGTTCGCACCGTAGCTCTCCGAAGGATGGAGGTGGGAAGGGTCTGGGGACTGGGGAAGGAACGCGCTTTGCGATACGACATAATCAGGCTGTTCCGGGAATGATATGGTGGGTGGGTGGATGGGATGTTGCTGTAGCATTGGCTGGATAACAGACGGGTCTGAGGTAATCTAGTGGTCAGCAGGGGCCGGAGGACAGTGTATCGGACGTTGTAACCCACCAACAAAGCTTTCTGGGCATTTTTGCTGATAGAAACCCTCCGAGTCCAGTGTGTTGCCAAAATACTCATTGGGGAATAAGTCACTCATGGCCGCAGTGGGATGCCCCAAGCCATTCGTTGTCTGGACCCAGTCTTCCGAGATGACATGCGCAGAACCCGTATTGGGCGATCCGATGGCGGAGGAGGAGGCGCTTGCAACCGAGGGACCAGACGCAGTAGAAAGTCCAGGAATAAAGTGGTCAGAAGTATAAGGCAGGGACGGGGGAGTGGCGGGCATGGGTGGAAATCCGGCAGCTTTATTGGAGTCCGAGTAAGACTCCGAGTAGATAGGCGGCGTACCGTAGTTGGAGGACTGCGGTACACCGGATGGGTCGTGGGTCTGGCTGAAACCTAGGTCGTCCACATGGAAGGCAAGAGGATCGATAAAGGTGCTAGGATCCATGGGGTAGGACTGGAAGTATGGGGGATGCTGCTGCTGTCTGGACGAATCCAAAGCCAGCATTTTGTTGTCACCGGTGAAGTTGGTAGGGAATAGTACAAAGTCGGAGTTGTCTGCGTGAGATTGCATGCCCAGGCTCCGTGCAGTGGTTGGTTCGTTCCTTGGCTTCCAGGTTGGAGGATGCGAGGGTTAATGTAGAAGAAGAGGAGGGATGCAACCGATCTGCAAGATGATGAGCGTTAGCAATCTGATGTCTCAATCAATGGCATGGAAATAATGTCCGGCGAGACTCCCCTGGACCCGAGGGCTTGGGAGAGAATGTTATTGAGTTCAAAGATTGGGAACGGTCCGCTCGGGGAACCTACTATGGCTTGATAGTCTTGGTATTTAGCGGGAGCCTAGTAGTGACGAGACGAGCAAGCTCCAAACGAGGTTCGGGGAATTTCCCAAAAAGGTCAAAAGAGGGAGCTTTCGAAGAACGTGTCTAAAGCTCGGGGTTTGAATGTACCAACTGCAAGGCGACGAAGTGTGTTGTCACTTGCAGATCCGAATCTTGGGGCGCTGAGGAGGCAGAAGAGGCAGCAAAAGTTTAACACCGCAAGCAGCAGAAGATGGATGATGAGGTGCGAAGCAATGGGGTCTTTGGAAAGGTAAAAATAAAAGAAGGTAGGTGGGACAGGGACACTGCGTTGAGGAAGAAGGAGAGGGCAGTGCAGAGGAGGTAGAAGAGGAGGAACAAAGTAGGTAAGAATTCCCTTTTGTAATAGTATTGAAAGAGTTGTCTCGCTGACAGCTTCACCAAGGTCCGACCCGTATGTGAGGGAGAAAGAGGAATGCGGAATGAGGATGGAAGAGGAAGATCAGATGGAGGGGGAAAGGAGGGAGTAAAAGTATAGATAAATGTTATATGATTGCTGGCCCTATGAGTCGCGCAGTGTAGGACTTTACGGAGTGGATATTCAGTGGACTGGACTGGGATTGACCAACTACGGGCGAACTAAGAAAAAACCACACTAAAAAGTAAGAGTCGAGCCCATCGCCCGACTAGATAGTACTGGGGCGGGGGGGTTGCGTGCACCATCGCGACAGGGGAGCAGTAGAGCCTAGTGTTTAGCGCGGTTCCAAACGGACTGGGGTGGGTTGTGGGTGTGGGTGTGAGTGATGCCGATGATGATGGTGGTGGTGGTGATGATGATGATGGTTAGTGGATGGTGGGTGGTGGGGAGGGAAGGACCACTAACTAACCACTAACTAACCAGAGTGGAGGACTGAAAAAAAGAAAAGAATTAAAATAAATTTGAAAAATAAAAATAAATGAAAAGAAAAGGGTAAAAAAAAAAAAAGAAGGAACAGGGGTAACGCTGCTAGTAGGCAAAGTAGAACTGCAAAGGTGGAGATGCCGGGCGAGCAGGGGCAGGCAGTGAACCGGGCCTAAACCAAGTGGTAGGAGTAGGTCAGGTATGTGGTATTATTAGCACCTCGATACGCCGTACTGCTAGTCGGGTCAAGTCAGTGTACGAAAATAAGTATTACCACTAGCCATCATGCATCATCCATCCTGCACTGCCAGCCGGAGGGTTCACTTGCAGGATAACTTTCTGTTGCTTGGAAATTATTTTTACTTTTTTTTTTCCTTATTCTACTTTGATTTTCTTTTTCTTTCTCATTTTATTTTCCCATTTTCTTTATTTTCTTTAGGTCATTTTCATTTTAAAGCGATCTGCTCACGAATAATATCGTAAGGATATGTTCATATACTCATTTTTTCCTTTCATTACTTTTTTCTCCCTTTTCCTCTATCAAAACCTAATCTGTCAATTATTGTGTTTGGTTGTTTCCATTCTTGTTTCCTCTACACGATACTGTAAACAGTTATTCGTCCGTTCAATGCATTCTTTTTCTTCTTCTTGCCTCTTTCCTGAATCAGTCACCAATCTTCTGTTCAGATTGTGTATGTGCTTATCTACTTACACTCGTTAGAGTAATCGTTACAACCCCGATTAATACAGTATTATTCGGAGATGCTGATACCCAAGTCCTCCCCGATGATTACCTAAAACGGTAATAAGGGAACCCCATCTGCGATCCACTCCACGGCCACCCAAACTTTTGTCAAAGCCTCCACAATTACTAACCTCTAGCAAGCATTTCATACAATCGCCCTTCGAATTCGGGCCCTATCAAACTGTTAATCGACTCGCTCTTTTCCGAAATTCCGTGCATCCCCTCTCCCCATTTTTCCTTTTCTATTTCATTATATTCTATTCATCGTCTCTAGGGGTTTTAATTGGATACTTCTTATCTATGCCTCTTTGTGGTTTCTTCTTTCGCACCACCTGCATGTAAAGTACTGTCGAACTGGGGAATTCGCGAGCCCGAGTCGTATTCGGGTACCACATTACTCCTGAATAAGCAGTATTCATTATGAAACACGTCCCTTTGAATGTGTCTAGAACCCAAGTATCTGAGCGATCGATCGTAATAAATTAAAGATGTATTATATAAGCTAAGGACGATACTAGGAAATAGTAATGATCTGGAGACCTGAATGCCTACTACGGGGTCGCCGTACCCCGTGCATTCCTGACATTCGTATCCGCAGGTGTCATCGGCAAGTCCGTAGTGGCATACGCCCATCCTCGGTTGAAAACTTGGCATTAATTTGTCGGTAGCCCATTTGACTATCTACCAAACCTTGTCGGTTACGTAGCAGTTTTAGCGGTTGAATATTTGTTTATTTCCCTTCCTCCGCATTCCTGCTAATCATGGCACGGCCATTGTTCCTGATAAGATGGTGGCAAAAAGATTTTCTTTCCCCCTCCTCAATGCCATTCACTAGGCGATGTGACCTCCTGCGAGCGGATAATTGCTATGTTTTATAGGCTAGTGGCTACACCATCACGGGGATACGGACTGGGCAACTTTTAGTGCTTGGTGACCTATCCGCTTAGTAGTGCGCGTCCAACCATTTAGTATCTAGTCGAATCCTCAAGGAGAAAACCAAACTAGCGAATGTGTCATTGACTTAACACACACCGCAGAGGAAGCAGACGTTTCGAACTCTAAGCGTAATCATTCCTATCGTCAGTGGTCGATATGTCATTCATTTCCTCAGGCTGTGAAAAAAACGAAAAAAGGAAAAAAATGCCCATGGCGGGACGCTTCCTTCGTCCCATCAATATGGTTCAGACCATCCTCAATCCAGGAGGGACGTGGAGGAGTCTTACTAGCAGCAAACTAAGCAACTGGATCTGGGCCGTGGCCGCCAGTTCCGAACACCCATCGCTCAAGTCGCCGACCTCATGGGTCCTTTTGACGATCTTAGCTCAGCTCCACTCCCTCACAACACCCCTTTCAGAAACGTGCATTTTCCAGCGATCAAAACGATTGGTCAGCAACTCACGACGGGCAAATGAAGCGTCATGGACCGACGACCGCCTTCGATCCAATCAGACTTCCCAGATTGTCCCAGACGGGAAGACGATTCTCATTTAGGGCGTCGGGCGAGGACAATCATCTTGCCCAAACTGAACGAACACGGGACTAGGGTTTTCGATATAGACAGAGCCGCACATTTTTTTACCCTCCACCCGAGAGAGAAAGAGAGAATGTGTGTGGGCGGGCAATCTACGACTTTACTATAATGTGGAATATTATAGATTTCAATAGTTCCGTCCTCAAATACGCCCAACACGTTGGGGGCACACGACGGTCCATCGCACGTTCACCGTAGGAGAGCATGGCTGTCAAAAGGGTCGTGACATGCCTTGGCTTAGTCCCACGAAGCTGTCGTTTCATTCTTCCCATTCCAATCAAGCCGGTATGGAACGCAAGTCAAACATGAGAAAAATGACATCGTGGCTGCCAGGTTGAGTGGGTCCACTGTGGCTCATGCAAGGCTGAGTAGTGTTGTTAAATACCCTCCTATACTTCCGTACGATCACAATACATGAGTATGACAGGAGTAACAAAGGACAAAGAAACGACCGATCTGTGCCTAATGCCTATTACTACTACTTTGTAGTGAAAAGTCCCTTGAATAAGCCCCTCCCATTTTTGACTGTCCTCCACAAAGGAGGATATCTACACGAAATGACAAGATATTGTGGGCCTAGGGGACACTTGGCCTGCAAAACGCTTCAAACTTGACAATTTTTTACAAGGCAATAGACTTTATCTCCCTTAACATCAAGCCACAGAAGCGGGTTTGGCGCAGTATGCAGATGTAGAATGCAAGCGGTTGGGTTCGAAGAATTCGAAAACCAGTGACGAACGCACACACCCGACGCTCTTCTCCGAAGGGGGGCGCAAGAAGAGAGACGCTAAGTCGGTGAGGACGGAGTTCCCGACCCCGACCTTAGCGCCACATGTTTGGTTGAGCCACATCTTAATAGTAGTTAATATTTTTCATCGTGTGTCACCGGGCGGATCTTACCGCACTTTCCATTGGAAGATCCCCGTGCGCTAATGCCGCGATGAGGATTGATCGAAGTGAGGCGCAGCACTCTGCTCCTCTCTTTCACCGCTCCCTCGGGTCGCGCTGTGGCATCCATCCTGTAATGTGGCTCTCTCCCTATGTCATAGGTTATCCACATGTTGTCTCGTCTCGGTCAGAATGTCGTCGCACATGGTAGAACTGACCGATAGCCGAAAATTTTGGCGACGAGGTTCCCGGAGCAATGTTGCTAAGTTTGGCTCATCTATGTGCGACGGATCAGCTCCGTGGCTGGTCGCGGTAAAAACTATTCCACTACGATAGTATGAAGTAACACAATGCACCACGTCACAGAATTCTAGAATGTGTTGATAACCAGCCCCAATATTGTTGCACAGCGACAGATGCCTCTCTGGTGGGGCATGTTTTGCTTCCTTTTCCTCCTTTCTCTTCCACCCCTCACTCTTTTCTAGAAGTCCCAATATTGTGGCTTCGTTTCACTGGTGTGCTGACAGGGTATTCTAGATGTCCCAGAAACCTGTGACTTCTACCTAACCTTGGGTACTAGCATGCACTACTGGTCTGGGCTCTATCAATTCCCTACAGTAATAATATGGGTAGGGAATCTTACTGCGGTTGTGTGCCTCCAAAATCCTAATAATCTGAAGTGACCCACAACTAATTATATGACCTTATGTGTGATAAGGGACCATTTGCTTGAAACAGAAAAGCGAGCTCTATTCCTTTTGGGGGCGTCGACAGATGACAAGCAATCACGCTTTACTCATTAATTACAATGAAGCTGACATCGATGTGCACTCAGGGGCTTCACGTACTGAGCCTTTCCATACACGAGGGTAATACGATACCCGAATCCCACCCAATGTATCCGCACGTGGCAGACCACGTCAATATGCTGATGCGTGTAACTTAATTGATCCAGATGAGATTTCAGAACTTTACCATGCTGACCGTCCCTTATTCTGAAGACGCTCTCTCAGTGCGGCAGAGAAGGGCCATCGTCCACTTTTTTTTTTTCTCTCAGTCTTCCTGACACCGGCTTATTTTTTATTTCAGTATCTTGCAGCTAGCTCAAAACAACTATACCAGCACAAGTAGTCGGCGAAAACAGTCTGGAACATTTTCGTGCCAAACTGCCATTCAAGGAGCATCCCTGATCATCAGAAACTTAAGGTGACAGGTAATCCCAGACATTCCCAGGGATTGACAATGAGGGGTTCGCTAAGCCTTATTTCGGGTGTGCCCAGAACGTCAACTCGGCGGAGGAAATAGTTAATCCCTGCTTCCATGTGTCAGACTCAAAACACACAAGTACGAAAGGGAAATCTCTTCTATCGCCAAGGGGAAATGATTGGTATTCGACTCATCGAGGAAATGATCGATCGGCCACTAATTGAAAGATATCAAACTGACCACATTATTTGGTGATAAAAAGACCCAGACTGGACTATTCTTCCATAGGATGCTACGCTCCCCGTCAAGTCCACCAATCACGAAGCACAATAGGACCAACACGGCTAACACACAGTAGAGTACTACTAGACCACTATCTTATCCACAGCATCCGATATCTCCGGATGCTGCTGCAGGCATACAGAATTAGAAACAATACAGTGCGCCTGTAAGGTACGCCATGCTGAACAAGAATCCCCGGGTCTTTTCATCAAGTACAGCACTAAGTTTAGAAGCCAATTCCCTAAATGAGAATCATCCTGGACGCAGTCTGGCTGGTAATAGTACACTTTGGATACGGAAGTGACACATCCATCATGGCGTTCCGACGGATCGTGGCCGAGTCTCCACTGCACCCCACTTTTTAGAGAGACTGTTTCGCATGTCAGTTTGTGTCGGGTCCCAGCTGGCAGGTGCCAATTTTTCCAAGGGGCGCCCCATCGTTGTTGTCGCGACGACAGATAACTGATGGACCATTACTGCGGATTAACTATGGGATGGCTAGAATTTTGGCCCCAAATTTTACGAATGTCTAAATTATCTCGGCGTTGCGTGGGATGCAAGGAAGCATCCCTCGCCCGCCATCGTGCTTGGTCAAGTAAAGTAAGTAACACAAAAAGGATTCCATTAATATCTTCCTTGGCCTCGTCTCGTGGCGGCGCACTAAAAAACCCAGGAGATTCTGTCGCAGTCCCAAACAAGCGCCCGACTGTCTGATGCTAGACATTGCTAGACTATAGATAGACAGCAAGCTAATTGATTAGCAACTGTCGAGCAATGTCAGCGCTTTGTGGATATTTTTATGTTGTTGGGACTAGTCCTGCTTAGCTGCATGCACTACTTTGTGTGCTGGCGCTTGCATTCGCTCAAACATAAGCGCTGGGATTCTAACCCCTGGCACTGTCTTTCCCTGCGTTCGCCAGTAGGAGATCAGGACAAGGCTTCTAGAACAACATTCTTGCCGCCCATGAAACCAACTTGAAACAAATTCGATGCTTCCATAGGACTGCTATTTTGGGGGATGACCAGGGATGGTGAAAGCCATCGCAGCTTCTTAGTCTTACCTGGTTTTCTTTCTTTTTTTCTTTTTCCTTTCTTTTTTCCTTTCTTTTTCCTTTCTTTTTCTCCGTCCTCGAGCATCGGACACTCGCGTGGAAACCTTACGGATCAGAAGTAAGCGCTTGCATCAATCCTGTTTATCAAGCCGTTGGGAAGCTACCAGCTACTAATTTTACTCTATTGCTTTTTTCGGGCAGTAGGTCGGGCAGTAGGAATAATAACGGGTTTATCCTGATTCACTGTTTTTCCTTCTCTATTTTTCTTCCTACTTCTCCGCACACCCACGGATTGATAAGCGCCCGGGTGTTGTGGATAGTCTTGTCGGCAACAATGTATGTCAATCAGGCTAAGTAGATTAAATGAACGAGCATTTCATGGGGGTATGTCGGCCTACCTGCTAGTTATTCCAAATCACCCCTGATCCTTGCTCGCACGGGAAGACCCCCGGTATATTAAATGACTAAGTAGTACTGAGTAAGGTGGTAATTAACTACTATTCACCTATCATTCAGACCTGACTACCCAGATAGATGGGTAGATAGACAGATAGTATAGTAGTACTTCATGTTCCCCTGACGACTTCCCTCCGTCCATTGGTACTTAATCTACATCCCCTTACCAGTCAACCCCCTTACTATCCTGGGGGCCATGAAGGAAGGACCAACGAAAAATCCACGACCCATCTCCAGTGTCCCAGTCCAAGGGGGGAAAAGGTAAGTAAGTAGCTTCTCGGCATGCGAACTAGTAGATCTAGTGCCCGTACTACGGTCCCGGGGACGCCGGGGAAAGAAATTAGCGTAGTACTTGGCATGGCGAATCACGACCCTAATGGTGCACCTTGGATGGGCCACTTAATCTATCTATATTGCTTGAATATATTAACCTGCATCGTTTGGGAATTATGATTGACAGCTAACAGATTTGTTGGGAATTTACTAAATCATAGTAGATACCCAACTAAGTAGAACTACTAACTTGGTAATTAATTACTTAAGTGCTAAGTTCATAAGCGAGATTCTTCTTGCTGATTGGCACGACTATATACCGCTTTGGGAAGGTTAGGTACGTGGAGGTCTTACAATGTAGTATTTCGTGTCGGGATTGAAGTTGAGATGAGGTGCCTGATTAATTAAATGAACAGAGGACTAAGTTAGTTCGGTACTTTGTACTTTGGATGGATTGTTGCTCCACTTAAACTTCTGGGTGTGTTTTTTTTGGGTCGGGGAGGACGGAGGAGATGGGTAGTCTAGCTGTCTGGCCCAGACCTTTCTCTGGACGACTGACTCTCTCCACATTACGCGCTTTCTCTCCCTTCATATTTTCTGTGCCAGGGGGCACTAATCGGATATCCGTCCTCCGATACGAGGTATCCTGGGATTTATGCAACCGGTCACTGACTTAACCTCCAGGTCTATAGACTGAAAGTAATCAGGAGTCGGGTCATGCTTGAGGCAGTACGTGGATTCCGCACGCTGGCTGACACACGGATTCCCCCTGCGTCGATCCTGGAAATTACGAACAATAACAATATTCAGAGGAAGGAACTTCAAGTTGGGTTCTGGATCGTGATTCTGCTGGCTGTGGGTATGGTTACCCCTCCTTGTGACAAGTTGTCGGGTCAACTACCTGCTGGTCTGTCCCTGTCCCTGTCTCTGCTGTCGCCAGTGGAGCTGTCACGAATCATGAATTCTTGGGATGTACCGCCATTGCCGTCTGCTAATATCCATAGCATCCTTTCGATCGCTCTGTTCCTTACTACGAGACTGGTGTCATGTCGGTCTAGGATGGCTTACATGGCTTCGCACTTTCTGCAGCTAAGGTCGATATCTGCAAGCCGCTCAGTAAGCCATCGGTGCCAGACAAGGGGGCGAGAGGGGGGTGAGAGGATGAGAGAATGGCCTTGTACTCGGGAACCTTTCGGCGACCATCGCTCTTCATGCATGGCAGAAGACCCCGCGATTCACTCATGTCGTCCAAACACCCAGCAGGAGTCGTATGCACAGACCGGACGTAAGCCAATAACTCCTCACTGAAACCCCCTCATCCTAGCAAACTTGTGCCGATCAGTGTCGACGAACCTGGTCATCATCCGACAACTAGCTTCCTCTCGGTGTTACCCAGTCAGGATATGTCGCAAATCGAGTCCCTGGCTTGGGAGGTCGGGCAGAGAGAGGGAGAAAGAGAAATACGACGTGTTACTTCCCCTCACAGTCACGGAAAGTTTACGCAGATGTGAATGATTAATTGATCATTGTTTGTTCACCCTGGGCATTTGTCTTGGGGTGTAACCTGCACACGCGAAACCCATGTAACACTCGCCATGCAGACAAGTTGCACCTGGAAGCTAATCAAGGTTTTATTATTACTCACTTATCCGGCTAGAGGAGCCAATGAGCTTGGTAAAGAGCTACTCGGTTTCTCACCTGCTTCACTCGAGGTTACACGGAAGAGGGGTTGGACTGCCTTGGATAGAGAGGGGAATGGATGCTGTTGGACATCACAACTGACTACCTATCTGGGCGGATGTCATCTACATACTACTTTCATCAGGTCCTTCCGGATTCTGCTTGGAGTCATGCAGAGGAGGGACCGATCTCTGCGACCCATGATCATCCACGGACATGGCAGCCACTTGACGGTTGCACCATACCCTTGGGGACTTTGTTGTCGATCACGGCGAATCCACGGATGGATGCATGGTTACCGTACCGAACTGTAGATACCGCGTATCCGGCAAGACCAGAACTGGCTCAAATTTGAGCGCAAAGACATTCGCTCACTCGGAGATCCGGGTAATAATCAATTTGAATCGACACTAAACCAGATCCTGCGGGACAAGATCTTGGGTCAGTCGCTGATCAAATGCACTGACTTAATAGTCGCTCGGGGCATTCGCCAGATTAGGTTCCGACCGGGCATGTCTTCCTGAAGTGGTCGACTACAGGCCTGGCAGTCTGCGCGATGCAATCCATCATACTGCTTAATCCCCACCACAAACTTGTGTTATCTTGGTTCGAGTTCTAGCCCTCTCCTTCTTCA